ACACACTGCGGGGAGTCGGGGGCCAAGCACGCACACGCCCTGCAGGGTCTGGGCGCACGTCTCCCCACAGTGTCCACTCGAGCCCACGGCTGGGTTCCCCAGGGGTCACAACTCCCCCAGAGCGCCATAAGGGTCTCTCTGGTTTCTATTACCCGCATCTGAAGCCCCACCTGAGCTTGTAAGAAACTACAGGTGACCCTCGAACCATGCGGGCTGAGGGGTGCTGAGCCCGTGCAGCCGGAAGCCCACTTCTAACTTTCGCGTCACTGAAACCGTAGCGACGGGCGCCCCCGGGCACGCGAGCCCTCATGCAGATGGCACAGGGCGGGTCCCACGCGGGGACCCCGACACCGTTTCCCGCCCGTGTGCAGCGGAGCCCCACTGTCTGAGCCCGGGCTGCCCGAGGCTCCGCCGTGTGACCCCGAGCGCAGACGCGGCTGAGGACCCGTCTCTTACCAGGAAACCACTGGTCGATCAGGGAGTTGACGTGGTCCGTGATGAAAGCCATCGCCGAGAAGTCCCTCACCTCCGACTGGCAGATGATTTTTATGCCTCCGCTTTTTTTCTTCTTCCAGTTCACGTCCGAGGATTCCACGCTGCAGCCCAGGGGGGAAAAGGTGACCGTGGGGATCGGCCTCCGGGGCCCGGGGACGCCGAGGCGCTGACCCCCAGGGGACCCAGGTCCCCGCGCCGGGGGCCGTCGGGGGCCGCTGCCTTTGTGTGCTGGGCACGTTGCCCCGCCTCGTGCCCCCACCGCCCCCCACAGGGTGAAGTGGCCACAACGAGGACTCGGGGTGCACGGGCTGGGCTCTGGCCCTCGGGTGTGACCGGGGAGGCCCTTCCACTCTGAACCACGGGCTCTCATCTGCCGAGGGACAACTGTGAGCTTGACGTGGGCTCCTCGACGTGGAGCACCGGCCGCCAAGAGCAGCCCACGTCGGGCCTCAAGGACAGCGACCTTCCCCGAGCCCCGTCTCATGGAGCTGAAGAATGTTTTGAAAGATTCACTGTAAATAGGAAATCATCTTGTGTGTTTATTAAACCAGATTAAAAATCACTTATGAAACCGTTTGAGCTGACGTGATGTCTGTCTCTCTTAAAAAAACAAAAAAAGCAGGGAAGAGAGCTAAGGTGGGTGTCTTATGTCACACTTGGGACCAGGGGCGTCATCTGGGCATCGAGTCTCAGGACGAAGGGGTAGGGCCGGATGACTGCAGGTCCCAGCTAAGTGACCACGGGGGTGCCAGAGCTGGGGGTCCTCAGGGACGTAGGGACATTCGCAGGGGTCGGTGTCTCCTATTTCTAGTGCGCTGCCATGAAGAGCTGCTCTTGGGAGGAGGCCCCTGGACACCACGTGGACGGACGGTGTCCGGGGAGGCGCCACGGTGACCGCGCCGGGCGTCCCTACCTGAGGTAGCCGCCGTCGAAGGTGACCAGGAGACCCTCCTGCCAGTAGATGGTCTGGTTCCGCCGCACGCGGAACGTGCTGCAGCGGTTCCTCTGGTTCCCCGCGAAGCTGTAAATGGCGACTTTCCTGTGCCTGCTCCTCGTGTTCTTCCTGGTTTCGAAGAGCTGCAAGATGAGGAGAGACTCGGATTAAAAATTCTGGGCAAAAAAAAGATTCTGGGGAAAAAAAAAATTCTGGGGAAAAAAAAAATTCTGGGGGAAAAATAATTCTGGGGAAAAAAAAATCTGGGGAAAAAAAATTCTGGGGGAAAAAAATTGGGGAACAAAAAAAAAAATTCTGGGGAAAAAAAAATTCTGAGTTCTTCGCTGGCGCTAGGCAGGGCTCTCCGGAGGA